TTTTTTTTTTTTAAGACAGGGTTTCTCTGTGTAGCTTTGTAGACCAGGCTAACCGTGAACTCACAGAGATCCACCTGCCTCTGCCTCTGCCTCCCGAGTGCTAGGATTAAAGTCATGCACCACCACTGCCTGGCTAAAACATTTTCTTAGTGATTAATGGGGAAGGGCCCAGACCATTGTGGGTGGTACCATCCCTGGGCTGGTGGTCTTGGGTATTATGAGAAAGTAGGTTGAGCAAGCCATGAGGATCAAGCCAGTAAGCAGCTCCCCTCCATGGCTTCTCCATCAGCTCCTGCCTCCAAGTTCCTCCCTGTATGAGTTCCTGTTCTGACTTCCTTCAATGATGAACAATGATATGGAGGTGTAAGCTAAACAAACTCTTCCATTCTAGCAATTGCAACCCTAACTAAGACACTAGGCAAACCAGGCTGTCCTCAAATTCACAGAGATCTCCTGCCTCTGCCTTCTGAGTGCTGGGATCAGAGGTGTGTGTCACTACAGACAGCCTTCTCTCATTTTATCAATACATTAGTTTGCGCTCATTTCAGCCAGCTTTTAAATGCTGCCGTGGCCTCTGTAACTTTTATTAATTCATAAACTCATGTGTATACACATAGTTATGGTGTGCTGTGTGATATGAGTTAATATTAGAAACTAAGACTGGAATAAAAGAACCTGTATTCACCTCAGCCAGGCTACCGAGGTAAGCAGAATTATCTGGCAAGCTGTCAGCATCAAAACCGCCGAACTTTGTGAATTTATTGTTATCCAATCATTTTCCTTTATGCCTTATGCAATATTTAGGTGCTTAAAATATAAAGAATGGAGCTGGGGGTAGAAAAGATGGCTGCATGGTTAAGAGCATTTCCTGTTCTTTTAGAGGACCTGAGTTCAGTTCCCAGCACCCGCACTGGATGATAGCTCACAATTACCTCTTAACTCCAGTTATGCGAAGGTCAAAGGGCCTCAACAGGCATTACACTCAACATGCACAAAACCCCACACAGATTCACTCACACACACACACACATAGTGGCGCACGCCTTTAACCCCAGCATTTGGGAATCAAAGGCAGGTGGAGCTCTGAGTTCGAGGCCAGCCTGGTCTACAGAGAGAGAGTTCTAGGACAGCCGGGGCTACACAGAGAAACCTTGTCTCAAAAAGGAAAAAAAAAAAAGAAAGAAAGAAAGAAAAAGAAAAAAAAACATTGTAAAAAATAAGTAAATAGCTGGGCGTTGGTGGCTCACGCCTTTAATATCAGCACTCCGGAGGCAGAGGCAGGCAGGCAGATCTCTGTGAGTTTGAGCCCAGCCTGGTCTACAAGAGCTAGTTCCAGGACAGCCTCCAAAGCCACAGAGAAACCCTGTCTCAAAAAACCAAAATAAATAAATAAATATTAAAGATAACTGTGCCCTCCAGCTCTGTCAGGTAGTGACACTAGCCTGAACTAACCTGATCTGAATAGATCTTCTTTTCCTCCCTCCCTCTTTGTTTCTTACATTTTTTAGATAAGTAGCCCAGGCTGACCTCAAAATTACATTCAAAATTACATTCTGCCTCAGCCTCCCAAATACTGTGATTACTGGTGAGTGCAGCCATCATAGCCCCGAGAGTACGACTTGGGTGAGTCTGTATATGTGTGCTCATTACCTAGCTCTAAGTCTGTGAAGTCTGAGTGTTTGCTGTGTGTTCATATGTATGTCTTGAGACAGTGTAGTGGTGTAGCCAAGGTCAGAATCACACTTGTTGCATAGATCAGTAGATGAGGCTTTCAGCTTGCTATGTAACTTAGACCGGCTTCAAACTCTCAGCCAAGTGCTGGGAGATGCACACCTGAACTGAATATACAGGCAGACAGAGCTCAGGCTTGTTGCCAAGCTTGCCTGCCTCTCAGTGTGACTGTGTCTGGTCTGCTTGTCACTGAGTGTGTCCAGGGGAGACTGCTTTCTCCCAAACCTTAGAAAGCTTAACAATCTCCTGCTGTGCCTGAGAGATCCCTCTAGGACCTGGACAGTGGAGCATCTGAGGGTCTAATACTTCTCTTGTGCAGACACATTCCACAGAGAAGCAACCTAGGGCTCAGATGGTTGACCCTTTCCAAGACTACAGAGTCTGGTTCAGGCACAGCTGGAGGCTAGAGGAGATGGAGTGGAGGACACATGGGGGCCTGGGGCATGGTAGGCAGACCCATGAGAGCTTGGTGTGGAGCTGTGAGATAGGGACAGGGGTCTGGCCTTCAGCCAGGGGTCAGGGGTCTATAGGAAAAGGAAAGGGCATGGCCCTCCCTAGCAGAGACCGTGCCAGAACACAGCTGGGGCCCCCATAACTCTCTCATGGCTCCTTTGTCTTAACTCGGCCCTCAGGGCTCTTCACAACGGGTCTCAGTGTCCTCTGATGGAGTGAGTGAGTGAGTGAAGAAAGGGTCACGGGCAGGGCCACAGGGGTCTGGGCATCCTGACTGAGGCTGTCAAAGAAACTGACTGTGATCAAGTTTATCCAGGTTCCATAATAAGGCAGCCCCTGAGCACCATGGGTAGACACTGATGGAGGGAAAAGGCCAGGCTTGTGGGCTGGAGTGGGTGGGTGATGGGTGGACTGGAGGGAGAGTGGCCTCTAGCTCCTGTCTGGCTATCTAGGCTCAGGCCCTGCTTCTCTGCTGAGGTCCCTGCAAACTATTTCTGTGACCCCTCGACCCTGGGTGGGTGGGTGTAGCCTACAGGTGTACTTCTAACAGCAGAGATGGGTCTTGGAGGGGCTTAGAGGGGACACCTCCTCTGTGGGGTGACTGAGCCCTCCCCACAACCAACCAAGAATTCTGTTCTGTGGGGTGAAACCCTGATGGGGTTAACAGGGACTCAACCCAGACCCTTTCCAGAAAATACAAAACTCTTTATTGATCATTTTCTATTAAAAAAAAAAATAGTCCCCCTGTTCTGAGGTGGGGGAACCTGTAGGCAAGAAATGCAAAGCTCCAGTCAAAGGCTGTCAAACCCTGAGGTGTGGCAAGCAGGAAGGGGCTCTTGATCTAGGCTGAAGCCTTCCCTGAAAACTGGGGTGGGGGGGTGGGGGGGGGTGTTCTGAAGGAAGGTCCAGGTGGCCCAGGCTCTGGGAGGGGAAAGAGGGACCTTCTGGCAGATAGAGCAGGGTTCAGGGGGACTCTCAACCTGAGAAACTGTAAACTGAGGCTAGGAAACAGGAAAGCTGAGGCTGAAGCCCAGGGCAGGCCCCCTGGGTCTCTTACTGCTCCTCAGGCCCATCACCACCCAGAGCCTGTTCATAGGGACAGGGCCTGCGGCAGGGACCAGCTAGCTCTGCACCTAGGGCCCCTGCTTGTGGTGCTTCTTCCCTCCGCACAGTCCCCCTGGCCCTGCTCGCCGCCCCCATCCACATCACTTTCATCTGAGTTGTCCTCCTCCAGGTAGCGGTAGCCACGCACTTTGTGCTGTGGCTTTGGAATTCGCGGCTGTCTGGGGACCAGGCCTTGCTGCAACTTCTGTTCCATCCATAGGTATGAGGTTGCTGCCACTACCAGGGTCACCAGCAACACTGCCAGCTTGGCCTGGGAGCAAGGGGAAGGAAAGGTGACACCATCCCTTCCTCTGGTGTCTTCCTCCTCCAGCAGGAGCCTCCTGGCTCCCTCCCTCCCCAGATCCCTCACCCAGGATTTCCAAGGCAGCCTTTGAGGACAAGGCTCAAATCCCCACACTGACTTTAAAGTCACCATATGCCAGCAAGACTCAGTTTTACCAAAACCGGGATCATCTCTTTGCCTCAAAGAAAACATGAAGGTCTGAGAAAGTCTAAAAGCAGGTCTGGCTTCCTTGGACCACAGTTAAATTATTTCCTGGGGCCCTAGACACAGTAGGACACTGGTGCACATAGAGACACAAGCTTATAATATCATCACTTAGGAAGTTGGGGGGTAGTGGGTTCTAAGAGTTCAAGGTCAGTTAGGGCTATGTTCTGAGACTGTCTCAGAAAAAAGAATATATATATATATATATATATGTATATGTATATATATGTTATATATAATAAATATGCATAATTATACAATATATATAAAAAATCCACCACAGAAGTGCTTTGCAGCATTTTTTCTTTTTGTCTTCAGTGCTGGGGATGAGCCGTGTATGTTTGTATGTGCCAGGAAAGCACTCAACCCTGAGCACACCTACTCTTCCTTTCAGACAGTTTGACTGTAACCCACAGCCAGAAACAAACACACAAATATATTCGTTCCCTGATATTTAAATTCATTTCACTTTCTAAAAAACATTGCACAAAGCTGGGTATATAATCTCAGCTCACCGGAAGCCGAGGCACCATGAGTTCAAGGTCATTCTGGGCTACCTTTGAGACCCTGACTCAAATACACAAGCAAACCGAACAAAAACATGTGCTAAGACCTGCTGAAATGACCTGCTGGGGTTGGGAACAGACTAGGAATTTAAGAGTACAGTTGATGGATAACAAGAATGGACCTTGGGTCCCTTCTCCGTGCTAAGACCTGCTGAAATGACCTGCTGGGGTTGGGAACAGACTAGGAACTTAAGAATACAGTTGATGGATAACAAGAATGGACCCTGGGTCCCTTCTCTATCACAACCAGAAACAAAGCAAAAGCTGGGCATGGTGGGACCTTTAATCCCAGCACTGGGGAGGTAGAGGCAGGCAGATCTCTGTGAATCTGAGGCCAGCCTAGTCTACAGAGACAGTTCCAGGACAGTCAGAAAGCTATATAGACTCAAAACAAAACAAAAACCAAATAAAAATAACATAATATAGTGGACATTTCCTACAGAATCTGAAATGAGAGACTATGGGAGTCCAGGAGTAAAGAAGCTGATGAGCAGGTCATCTAACCACCCACAGTTCAGCTGGGCATGCCTACAGAGACTGATGCTAGCAGGTGAAGCAGTAAGTAGGGTGCTGGCTTGGGGGATCATGGATTAAGGGGTCCTTGGAGCAGCATCTTTGCAAAGTAGTGCCTTTGAAGAGGCTGTGAAATCAGGGTCTATTTCCCGGTGAGGCATGGACACTCAAACTCCTTCCCATCCTCACCTTCATGGGCAAGCTGGAGCCCAGGTACACAACGAAGATGGCCACAGCCTGCCACCAGTGATAGATGGTGAAGATGAAGTCCTGCCTCTCTTTGTCTTCATATAGGATGCCCAGGAGTGCTGTAGGCAGGAGAGACAAGACAGGTAAGGAACCCTGTACCAGTTCAATCTCATGGCTGGTGTAAGCCAACAAGGGCTGTGCGCTGATCCTTGCCTCCCCCTAGTGGAGACTTTGGTTTACTACACTGTCAAGATGAGGCATGTCTCGCCTTTGACCCCAGCAGGAAGAGTGCCAAGTGCTCAGTTGCTGTTTCTCTCCCTCACCAGGGGCTTGGAGAGAGACCTTTCAGCAATTGGCTTTCCACAAGTCAAATCTGGAACGGAGTGGACTAGTTTCCTGAGGGATCGTCTCGAGGTGGTAGAGAAACAGCACTGGACAGGCAGGCAGTCAAGGAGCTGAGACTCTGGTGCTCAGGAAACGGTAGATGATCAAAAAGCTGACATTACAGCTGACTTAAGGAAAGCTGCTTAAATCTCCAAAGCTGACCTTTCCCAACTGTGACATGAGCGTACACCGGTTGTCTGTTGGGCTAGAAGCTCTGAAGGGAGAAAGTGGCGCAGCCCTGGCTGACTGTGGCTGCTACTTGCTAAGCTCCAGCAGCCTCAGGACATGAACACTGCCATTATTAACAGTGAGGACGACCTACATGATGACTTACATGGCCAGCTGCCTGTCACTGACACGTACCCATCTAAGACCAGATAGCCCCACACAGCTGAACTCTGGCCTACCATAGCTGCTTTTCCCAGGGCCTCATTCCAGCAGCCCAGATTTGAGCATGGATTCTAAGTCTGGACAGGTTGGGTTTGGGCTGTGCTGGGATATCCTCTCTACAGGAAAAAAAAAAAAAAACCCTGCGGGGTGCAGTAAAACACATTCTTAGTCCCAGAGCTAGAGAAATTGAAGCAGGATGAGCTCTATAAGTTGGAAGCCAGCCTGGTCCACGTAGCAAGTTCAAGGCTATACAGCAAGACTATGGAAGAAGAAGGAGAAAGAAGAAGGAAAAGAAAAGCTCTATAGAGATGGGTATAAGGCACCTGCCCTGTTCAATTCCCAGGACTTGTGGTAGAAGGAAGGAACCAACTTCCACAGGTTGTCCTTGGAACTCCACACTCATGGCATGGCACCTGCACTCCCACACATATACACACATGTATTCAAAATAAATATCATACCATAACATAAGTAGATATTTTTAACTATTGGGAGGTAGAGCCAAGTGGCTCTGAGTTCAAGGTCAACCTGGTCTTGTTCCAGGACTGCCAGGGTTACAGAGAAACCCTGTCTCAGAAAAAAAAAAAAAGTTAAAGAAAAAAGACAGGGAGCCGACAGTAGCTCAGGCTATAATTCCAGTACTCAGGGATCTAAAATAGTACCAAACTGCTACAAGTTTGAAGTCTGACTGAGCTACATAGTGAGCTCTAGGCTAGCCTGGGCTACAGCGTAAGACCTTGTCCCAAAAAACACAATTGAAGAAGGAGGAAAAGGCTGATCTTGGTGGTGCATGCCTTTAAAGCTAGCACTAGGGAGACAGAACCGTGGATCTGTGTGGATTCAAGGCCAGTAGGATCTATATGGTGAATCCCAGGCCAGCCAAAGCTCCATAGTGAGGCCCTGAGAAAAAGACACAGAAAAGCAAGAACCCAGTTCTGTATCTACATCTGGAGTATGGGCACTCTTGCCCTTCCTGGAGCCTGGACTCTAGTATCTACTTCCTGTGCCTTGGAAATTATGCCAACATAATTCTTGACTGCCTGTGTGTTTTTATATACTCTCCCCAGGCCTCTTCATGGAGCTTTCACCCACCCTGTGTACCCACAGTATTTCACATGTATTCCCTCAGTGTGATGTTCACCTGCTCAGCACGGAACTTCTACGTCTTCCCAGAGTGTCCAAGGACTTCCCCACCTATCTCTACAATGTCCACAGAATTCTTTCTACCCCAGACTACACCCAAGCAATCCCTACCCACTTCTAGTATGCCCACAGAGCCCCAGGGCAGATCCCTATGTCCATTGCAACCCATGGAATGTTAATGGTCCCAAACCACAGCCTTCCCCACCCCAGACATGCCAGTCCCTAAAGGTTGTACTCACTGCTAAGTCCGGTTTTGTTGAGGGCACTGCCCACACCCCAGAGGGCAGCCACAAAGTAAAGGATCCAGCTGTGATGGAGGACCCGAGGCAATGGGGCCCAGAAAAAGAGGCTGAGGGTGAGCAGCAGGTGCAGCCCCGCCCCAGCCACTAGGGGCACTGAGCGTGGCAGCCACAGCCCCAGAAGCCCCAGGACCGAGGCTGCTGAGGCACCCAGGCTGTAAGCTATGAGCAGGTAGGCCAGCCGCTCTAGTCCCACAGAGCACACACCATAACCCTGAGGAGGAAAACAAGAGGAGGCTAGTTGGTCCTGGCCCTCCCCACGACAGCTGCTGCTTTAGGCCACACCTTGTCTTATCTGGATCTGCTGGTGCTAACTCCCCCTTACGCTGGTAGAAAGGGTGGAAGCAGCACCATTCTAACTACATAAGTAGAAAATTATTTGTTCGGGGTAAAAGGCAATGGAGGCGAGAGAGGGAAGAGAAACTGAGGGAAGAGATCTCCTCTGGCCTTGGAGATCCCAACTCCAGCCTTGGTCTACAGGCATATGTCCTGCAACCAGAACTCAGTTGTGACTAGGAGGGGAATAATCCAAGATATACACCCATGTGCTGTGCATCTGAAATTCAAGTTTAGCCAGACGTCTTGTCTGTACTTACCAGGGCGAAACCAGTGCAGGCAAAGAGGACCTCAAAGCCGCTGTAGATAAAGAAGGGCACCAGGTGGCGTAATCGGAAGTCACGCACGTGTTTGAAGGGCAGCTGGAAGATGTTGCCCCAGCCCACGCTGCGTAGGTCGATCTCTTCCGTGGGCCGGTAAGCGGCTCCACACAGGCCCAGCACCTACAGACAGGAGCTGTGAAGAGACCATCTGCCAGGTCTCAGCCTGACGCTCTGCCCCAGACACGTCCAGGGGTCTGCAAAGGACTGCCACCCTATACCAGGTGTAGTGGCACACTTCTTTAATCCCGACACTTGGGAGGCAGGAGCAGAAGGATCTCAGTGAGTTTGAAGCCAGCCTGGTCTACATAGAAAGTTTCAGGACAGCCAGGACTACAAAGGGCGATCCTATTTCAAAACATCAAAATGAAAGAAGAAAAAGAAAAGGGCTGCAGTCCTAAGGCCCCGCCCCAAAATACACCTATAAGCCTCAGGCAAAGTTGTGGCATACCGGAAAGGCTTCAGCCGAAGGATGAGTCTGGGAACACATCCTTGCTTTTTGCACGCCCCACCTCTGGAGCTAAAGCCATACCTCCCTGCTCGGGTCCCTCAGAGCTTTAGTTCTGCTTTCCAGGAAGGCCCTCGTTCCAGAGCCACACTTGCCAGCCCACGATCCTGGGTGGTGATCCTAGTCCCCTCAAAGGTCACAACAGGCCCTAAGGGACCTGTCCCCTCTTTGTCATTTTTCATCTGGCCTTGAGAATCCCAACTCCAGCCTTGGTCTACAGGCATCTGTCCTGCAACCAGAACCCAGTCCTGATTCTTAGGCTCCTAGCCTGCAACTCCGACCTGACCACAAACAATCGCTAGCAGGGAGAGAGCCCCTTGCTCCCACCACCTCCTCCTCCCCACCAGTCCGAGCCTCACCAGCAGCATGGCCAAGAAGGCTACTGCCATGAGCACACTCTCTACAACAATGAGGTTTCTGCTGCGAGGCAACGTCCGCAGAACCGTCTTGTTGAAGCCGGTCAGGATGCCGTGGCTCTTAGTGCCTGGGAAGGGCGGGTGGAGACACTATTAGGTTATACTGCAACCAGACCACAGTGGAGGTGGGGTGTGGGCGAAGGTAAGGATTCTTCCAGCAAGCTCCTTAAGGCGGGGAGTGGCAGTTTGTGAAAGGGACACCATCCACCTCCCACCTTCATGCACACAGCCCTGAAAGCTGAAAGGGAAGGCCTCATGTCTTCTGAGTGACTGAATGCCAGAAGGAAGTAGGGCTTTGGAGGCCCCGCCTCTACCCCAGGACTGACCGCAGCTCTTCACGTTGAACAGTGTGTGGTTCAAGTCATACAGGTAGTAGTTGAGGAAGTAAATCATGGGCAGCTGGGCACATGCGAAGCTCAACTGTGGGCAGGAGGGCAGTTGGGTCAGAGCCCAGAACAGAACTAGACAGGAGGTGAGATCTAGGAGGAGTCCAGACATGACCCCTGGTGGGGGAGCAGAAGTTCTCCCAACCCCAGGGACAGCCCAGCAGTGGTGATGGCGTGCCCATGGCAGGAAAACTTCCTCCTAGTCACTGTGGACAGGGAGGAGGTCTCCATCACTAGAGGTAAGGTTTGGCTCAGGAGGGCTGAGAAAACTGTAGAATAGGCTGTAGTGTGTGGAATCTAGAATAACCCACCCCTTAGGGTTTCTTGTAGCACTCACATGGAAGAAGCTATAGAAGATGGCCTGGAAAACCAAGAGATAGGGTGCGTGGGAGCCGCGTGGTGGGCGCTGCTGAGGTCCCTGCTCATCCTGCTCTTTATAGTGGGAGTACTCATAGTACTTCTGGGACATCCTGGAACACAGAGAAAGGGCTTTCCCAGCCTGCCATCTGCCATGCTTCTTCCTACAACTACAGCTATAGGCTAGTCAGCTTCAGTGGGGAAACTGAGGCCCAGCAGAGTCACAGGCTTGCCTAGGGTCCCCTAGCTAAAGTCAGCAAAGAAATAAATATTCAACCAGTTCTCCAGCCTCTGCCCCACTGCCCATCAGGCTTACCTGGTGATATAGTTGCCCATGGAGGCCCAGAGAGGCACAATGGCCATGCCCAGAGCCACAGCAGAGGGTACCAGCGTGTAGTAGCGTTCCCAGTAGTTGGTAGAGACAAAGAGGGCGTAGATGCCCACAGCTAAAAACA